GCAAGATATATAGTTTTTTTAACGTTTATAACAGAATAACGATCACGACATTTCTTACACGTCTTATTTCCCACCCACAACACCATAATTTCTCTAATATCACTTTTACAAAAAAAAATAACAAGCTATATAACTTGATAAATTTTATTTTGAAATAACGCTTACTATATTCGTTACAAGTTTTTCTTTCCCTGTTTCTGTAGTCTCCATATATAGTTTTTTAAACCTCTATAAAATAATAACAGTCGTGATATTTCTTACACGTATTTCCCACCCACAACACTAATTTTCCTAATTTCACTTGCGCAAAAATATAATAAGCTAAATAACGCTTACTATATTCCTTACAAGTTTTTCTGTCTCCATTTTGTAAAGAATAGAGTAAGCTACAAACTGTTCTAAATTTATAATAAAAAAACGCAAACGATATTGATTACAAGTTATTCAACTCATCTTTTCCCCATTTCCATTTTACAAAGAATATGGTAAGCTGTATAATGTTCTAAACTTTATAAGATAATACCGATCGAGATATTTCTTACATATCTTATTTCCCACCCACAAGACTTATCACCTTTGCAAAGAATATAATATGCGATAAATCTTGCTAAATTTTATATCAAGATAACGCTTCCTGTATTCCTTACAAGTTTTTCTTTCCCAATTTTTGTTCTCTCCATTTTACGAATAATACAGCAAGCTATATGATGTTTTAAGTTTTATGACAAAATGACGCTAACTGCAACTTATTTCCCAACCACGACACTTCCAATTTTTGTAATTTTACTTTTACAAAGAATACAGTAATGTATATGTGAAAGTAAAGATGTAACGCGAGTGGAAACAAATATAAATTCAAGATTTAACTTGAATTGACATGAACATAAACTTAGTTTTTTATCTGGTATATACTAGCAAACATGGACATAAAACATAAAGCGTACATACTATTTTTCAATAAAAAACAGCAACTCAAACATGACAGTTACTAAAACATAAAGAAGTTAAAAAATTGTAAATAAATTACTACACCATGACTCATGAATCACAAACTAACATAAAAAAAACTGCTACATAACATAACTGTCATAATAAAATTAAAAGACTTGATCTCAGTTGCTTCAACACTCCTCCTTGAGAGCAAGTAACTCCAAGCTGCTCTCTCAACATTTCAAACCTCTACTTTGGCAAAGACTTTGTAAGAATATCAGCAAGTTGAACATCAGAGCTACAGTGGAGCAACTAAATTTACTTGTTCTTGATGTACTGCCTAATTACATGATACTTGACATGAACATGCTTAGTCGTCTTGTGCTGCACAGGATTACTAGCAATTGCAATAGCTGACATGTTATCCATATAGATCAAACTAGGATCAATTTGAGGCTGCCCCATATCAGATAGCATTTTCCTCAACCAGATTGCAAGATTTGAAGCTTCCACAGCTGAAATATACTCAGCCTAAACAATAGATTGGGCAACCACTTCTTGTTTACAAGAATTCCAGCAAAACACACTTGATCGAAACTGAAATAAGTAACCAGAAGTGCTTCTACCATCATCTATACTCCCTGCCTAGTCACTATCTAAATATCCTGATAAGCAACCATGATAATTCTTGCTAAACCAAATTCCATAATCAACAATACCATTAACATACCTCAAAACTCCCTTTGCAACACTCAAATGAACTTGAGTAGGAGAACTCATGTGTCTAAACAACAAACTAGCAGCAAACATAATGTCTAGTCTAGTAGCAGTGAGATAAAGCAAACTGCCAATGATACTTCTATACCAAGATGCATCAACATAAGCACTACCATCATTTTTTGACATTTTACAATTCAAAACAAGAGGAGTAGAAACTGGCTTACTATATTCCATATTGAATTTCTTCATCATATCCTATGCATATTTTTGTTGTGACAAGAATATCCCATTTCCACATTGCTTGATTTCCAAACCAAGAAAGTAACTCATTTCTCCAAGATCTAACATGTCAAACTCTTTCTTCATAACAAGCATAGAATGCTCCATAGCCTAAACATCAGAACTTGTAATCAGAAAATCATCAACATAGAGTGAAACCAAAAGCTATACATCACCATTTGTGTCTGTCACGTACAAAGTAGCTTCATTTTCACTTCTCCTAAAACCTTGCTGCATTAAGTAGGCATCAATCCTACTATACCAGGCCCTAGGACCTTGTTTTAGATCATAAAAAGCCTTATGAAACTTATAAACCATATCCTCACTTCCATGAACAAAGAACCCCTCCAGTTGCTCAACATAGATTTCTTCTTCCAAAAAACCATTCAAAAAAGTAGATTTCACATTCATATGGTAAACCTTCCAACCATTTTAGCAGAAATAGCAAGCAACAGTTTGATAGTATCATGTCTTGCAACTGGTGCAAAAGTCTCAGAAAAATCTACTCCTTGTTGCTATGCATATCCCTTAACCACTAATCTGGCCTTGTACTTGTTTATTGAACCATTAGGATTAAGCTTTGTTCTAAAAACCCACTTAACCCCAATCACATTTTTACCTTTTGGTCTAGGACAAAGTGACCAAGTTCTTTTCTTTTCAATCATAGCCAGCTCTTCTTTCATAGCAGCCATCCACTCATCATGTTTTGAAGCCTTAATAAAACAAGTTGGATCAAAAGTAGCCAAATTGCACCTAGCATACACATCTTCAAGTGACTTTACCTTCAAAGGGGGTAAATCATCATCAGTTTCAACAACATTTTGGTGTCTAGAAGTAGAAGCTATACTTTGTTCAACATTCAAGTCTTCATTTAATTGAGAAGAAGACTCCTTAATAATGTTTTTATCATCCCAACTCCAAGAAGCAGATTCATCAATTAAAACATCTCTATGCATTTTCACTTTTCGAGACTGCAAATTATAAATTTCGCATCCCTTTGACTGTGTTGCATAACCAACTAGAATTCCCATCTCAGATTTCTCATCCAACTTGGTTCTTCTAGTTGCTAGAAATTGCATATAACATATAGAACCAAAAACCTACAAATGAAAAACTGAAGGCTTAAGTCCAAACCAAGCCTCAATAGGAGTTTTACCTTCAACAGCTCTAGTTGGAAGACCAGTAAGCAAATAAATAGCAGTATGCACTACTTCTGCCCAAAACTTCTTAGGCAAATTCTTCTCAAAAAGCATGCTTCTAGCCATTTCCATCATTGTCCTATTTTTTCTCTCAAAAACACCATTTTGCTGTAGTGTGTACTTCACTATTAATTGATGATTTATTCCATGCTCTTCGCAAAAAACATCAAACTCCTTGGAAGTATATTCCTTTCCATTGTCTGACCTTAAGGTTTTAAGTTGGCAACTATTTTGCTTCTCAACTAGCACTTTAAACTTTTCAAAAACTGAGAATACTTGTGACTTGCAAGATAAAAAAATACACCCAGGTCATGCTAGTTAAATCATCAATAAACAAGAGAAAATATTTGTTTTGATTGAAAGAAGGTGTGTTCATAGGACCACATAAATTAGTATGCACCAATTCAAGTTTCTGACTTGCTCTCCACGCCCTAGTTGTAGGAAAAGCTGCTCTATGTATTTTTCTAAGTTGACAGCTCTTGCATACATCGGTATTGACATAAAGTTCTAACAAATCTCTTACAAGCTGAGAAGATTGCAAAAACTTCAAAGTTCTAACATTGCAATGACCATATCTCCTATAGCCCTAGCTCATCTTATCTTCTTTAGAAATTAGAACATGCTGCTTAACATCACTCCACATTAAAGGGAAGCTATTATCAACCATTTTCACATTAGCAACCTCAAAACCATGCACATCAAAAATTTGACATACATCTTGTTAAAATGCAAAGAATATCCATGCTTCATTAATTGTGCAACCCTCAGCAAGTTTTGACTCAAACTAGCAATGTACAAAACATCAGAGATAGTCTTAATACCTTCCTTAATTTGAATTGAGACATTACCCTTGCCTTCTGCTTGCACTACATAACCATTGCCAAGTCTAATTCTTGTTCGAATAAACCTGTCCAGCTTTGTAAACAGCTTCACATCTCTGACCATACGATTTGTACAGCCACTGTCAACATACCATGAATATTTTGAAGTCACAAAACAATTGTGCATAGCCACAAACATATAATCTTCCTCATTTTGATCTTTTGTGTAATTTTCCTGCTGCACTTACCTTGGCCTGTACTTCCTCATATAGCCTAGGCCATAAATCTCTTAAAGATTTATCCCCCACACAAAAATATCTTCAAAATCCCACCCGTCTTCCATCCCCAACCACCAACCTAAACCCCTTCACCAACATATTCCTTGAGCTCTCTGAGTTCCCACCTATACTTAAAATATCACCTCAAATCTTAGACACCCTCAAATTCTCTACCATAGTCATATCCACCTCTCTCCTACCCTCATAATATTTTTCCCTCACCACCCTCTTCCATAAACTCTCCACACCATCTCCTAATCTATACCACCACTTTCCTAATAGTGCCCAATTTTTCCTACACAAATCCGACACTCCGAAACCTCCCTTCACCCTACTACAACAAATAGACTCCCATGTAACCCACAAAATCTTCCTTTGAACCTCATCCTCCGCCCAAAGAAAATTCCTTTGAAATCAACTCAATAGCCACAAAATTTGGTATTAAAAACAATGACATATAAAAAATAGGTAAAGCAGAAAGTATGAGCCTTTTGATTAGTGTGGGTGAAAATTTCTTTTAGGGAAAGCATGAAAATTCCTTTCTAACTATAATTCAACAATATTATTTTGTTCAAAGTTTAACATTACAGCCTTTTGAATTCAATCTTTTCTCTTTTTTTTTCTCAGCAAAAATGTTACTAGGAGGTTGAAATCAGTGAGAGGATGCAAGAATTGTGGGGAAAACACATACACCCTTAAATTCAAACATGCTTTGAGTGAGATGAAAAAGAAATGTGAAACTACTAACTTTCAGGAAAAGCCAAAAGACTTAAATCCCGTAGTTTTACAAGAACTCATGCATATATGGACTAAGGTATTGGAGTAATTGTATAAAAAAATTTCTAAATATTATATCTTGTTGGTGATACTTATTTTTTGTAATTTAAAAAAAAAAAATGCTTACACCATTTTTTTTCAAGACGACCACATTAAGCGGTCAAATTTAGGAAAGACAAATTGAGCCAAAGACTGGAAAGTCACACGTACCAGTGGATCAATGGATATTGCCACCTACACAAAAAAAAAATGGTGTAAAATTTAATAGTCTTATTTAATCTTTATTAACAAGATTTTTATATTATTATATATTTTTTGTTATACAATTTGATGTTAAATTTTTCATTACAACAAGTGGCAAATCTTAAGGGGCCACCTCCTATATTTCCTAAATTGTTTACCAGTAAGAAGCAACAGCACCCCAAGGGAAAAGATCAACTGTCGCCATACCATAATGATGAGGCCAAGGAGATTAATGTAATTATTTAATAATATTGAAATATAAATTGTAAATTTGGTTATTTACTAGTTTAATTTGGTTGAATAACATTGTTTGTTATTATTTAAATCAAGTTGTGTATTTTATGTTCATTAGTAACATTGACACTCTTTTTTTATTTTAGGAAATTCATATGAATTAATTGAATTTATTAACGTGGGTGAGTTCATTGTATTTATATTTGTGATTTTACATGAAGGAAGTCCAATTATTAAGTGATATTTTGCTGAATTTTATTGAATTTTCCTTTAATTCATACATTTTATTTTTTTATGTTTGAATATATGATATACATATATATTTATATTATTAACCTAAGAACAGTAATAAATTATATGTGCAAATTGATAATAACAATTTCTCATGCGTTTTATACGATTTAAGGAAAAATTAATGGTGGAGCAGCCAAGTAGAAAGGGGGAGCAAGGATTTGATTCCATACAAGTGCACAGAGACCTACCAGTTAGGGCAACCAGTGGGTGAAGAAATGATGGTTGAAAGGTCTCAATGTTCAAGACCCTAATTTGTATTACATGTGATATGTTGTGCAGATATTTATTCTTTAAACAAATGAATAAGAGGAAAAGAGATGCCAAAATGGTTTTAGCATGTTTTGAATTAACACAATTGGAAAAAAAAAAATGGTAATCTAATGCTGCCCTTATTGATTAAAGTTGGTTAATGTCAATCCTATTCTTTGTGGTTTCTTATCGGCAGAACCCCAAAAAATATCGATAGGGACACATCCACCCCTCAAAAAAAAGCAGGGACAAATTGTCCCTCCAAATCATAAATCAATACAAATCACCCCTTTTTCAACGTTTTCTATTAAAAAATACTGATGTGGCAAACAGAATTCTGACGTTTTTCGTTGAAAAATGGATAATTTGTATTGATTTATGATTTGGAGAGGCAATTTGTCCCTGCTTTTATTTAAAGGGTAGATGTGTCCCTACCAATATTTTTTGAGGGTGGATTTGAGGGTTTTGCCTTTCTTACCATTGGTTCACTTAATGACTTTCGTGCAAAATTTGTTCCTTCTAGAGGTTTCTTTGGCAGAACCTTCTGTTTCCTTTTGCTGATCTTGGCTTCCCCTCTTTCAGTAGTCGCGAGTCCATCAACCTTGATTTTGCTTACCTTCAATCGCTTGCTTAGTGACACGCTTCTAAAACATGAAATGTTACCTATATATCCAGAGAACGTGGAATTTTAGAACTGTTGCTCGTATTTAGATTATGTATTGTTGGTATTGTATTACTCATTCACTAAGAAAGTGACTAAGTACTTATGCAAATTTCTGACTTACTTTAATACCTATATATAAATACTTATTATTCCCAATGCAGGGAACTGCACAACCAAAGCAATATCTATATCTTAATTAAACAGAGTACTAGAGCCCAAAATTAAAGCTTGGAATTTCTCATTCTTCACAACAATGGTGGGCAAATGTTTTAACCGAAAACTCCTTTTAGCACCTCAGCTGCTATCCGTGGCCATGACCACCTTGGTGGAAGGCCAAAGCATCCGTGGGTTACTCGAGCTCATATATCCTCAGGCTGAATTTTTTGTTCTCATTTTTTCTTTTTTTTGGTATCTGCAAAGAAATAATTTTATTAAACGGGTACAAGGTACCCCAACCCATATACAATTCCTAAAAACCATCTAAACATCAAGATATCACTAAGGTAATCTACCACTAAATAAGCCTTCATTTCTCCTGCATTCTTAGGCCGACGGTTC